TCTCTTTCTCTCTCTCTCCCCCCTCTCTGAAAGATGTTATTTAAAATGCAAATGACTTTAGGGTATGCAAGAATTATGGGTCCCTCGCAGCTTAGTGTGAACTGGCTTTAATACGGTTGCTTTCCTTAAAAGTACCTAAAAGACTGGGAGAGGCCCACGTTTAGCGTGGTTGTGGAACGATGCATGTGCACCGTTTGCTGCTTCCCGCATCCCTGCTGAGCCTCTGATGAGGTAACTGAGTGGTGACTGAGCCTCCTTTCACCCCAGTGCAGTCACAGACTCCTTCTGAGGTGAGGGGCAATTCAGAAGGTGGACCTGCCCAACAGCCGCCAAGCTTTTGCAGGTGGCAGAGAGGATGGGAGAAAAGAACAGAGTTGAGGTGCCAAGGCTGAAACAGAGACTGGGTGGTGCTGGGAATGGACTGCTTCCTTTGTTGATTGGTCCCTGTCTGGCCATGTCTTCAGGTTTTCTGTTTAGTTTAGAAGGGGGAAAAAAAAGAGTTGGATCCATTCAAGTTTTCGACTCTCTCCCCTCATCCTAGAAGAGGCAGAGAGTGAACCCACTGGATTTTCCTCCTTTGCCGAAGTTTCCTCTTTCCTGATTCTGTTGTACCACTGAATGGTTTTTCATGCATGTCTGCTGTGCCTTACAGTCTTCCAGACTGTTCGAAAGACTGAGGAAATCTCATTAAGTCCCAGAGAGACATGCTTGAATTTTCAGAGCTAATTGGTGGCAGATCCCAAGCCAGAAATTACCTTGCTGAGTCTGTAATATTAACTAATAAACACTGCATACGAAACTATAGAAAGGAAGTAATAACAATGGGCAGGGTACACTAATTTATCATGATGCCAGTGTCCTGAAATGCCCTGTCTATGCCAACTTTCTTTTTCCCTTCCTCCTTTCCTCCCTCCCTCCCTCCCTCCTTCTCTCTCTTTCTTTCTCTCTTTTCTCTTTCCTCCCTCCCTTCCTTTCTTCCTCCCTCCCTCCCTCCCTCTCTCTCTCTCTTTCTTTCTTTTTTCTAACCTCTGACTGGACATAATCCCTGCTTAGCTAGCTGAAGTGCCTGGCCTTATGCACAGGCACCCCCTTCCATGCACAGCACCCCTTTAAATTCTCATGATGGCTAGCTTGTGCCATCTACTGCTTCACTTTTCTCTTGGGCTTTTCTTGAAGCTTCTCATTTTGGGGGGAAGAGAGTTTTGGTGGTGGGCAGTGAGATTCCAACTCCTCTTATAACTTCCTTCCTTTTTAATAGGAGGCTGACTTGTGGGATGAAGGGTTCGATTCTGTCAGGTTTTGAGTCCCATAGTCTGGCCTGGCACTGATTTACATGCAATCATTAGGACAAAATTTCATCTGATGTGTGAAAATAAAACTAACTTCCCATGCATTATTCAGAGCTCCAGGAGGTGGGATAATGTCACAGGTTTTATAAACCATTGTGTTTTTCTTGTGTGGTTCTCTTCTGATGGATTTGCTTGAGATGAGTGAATTCACTATCCAAGATCCTAGGTAATCCTTGCCATTGATGGATTAATTCAAAAGTTGTGCTGCCATAGTGGTCAAGTTTGAGACAATTTGTGTTCACCAAGTACCTAAGGGTATCCAAAGAGTCCTTCACTGGCATGCACAAATATTTTCATGTCTATATGCATTTTATACAGAATAAGATGAGGAAGGTTTTAAGAACCCCTAAACCAGGAACGTGTGTGTGTGTGTGTGTGTGTGTGTGTGTGTGTGTGTGTGTGTGTGTGTGTCAGTCCTTTATCTCTCTGTAGGTTTGTATAAATATTCAACTTCTTAGTTGTTGTCAGAGTCTCAAAGGATGCTATGAGCCACACAGAGATGAAGAACAGTGGATTCAGATGATGGACATATGGTTGAAGCTGTCTCACCCAGTTCCTAACTTTAGTGTCTGTGTCGTTTAGATACATTTCCTCATTGATTTTCATTCATTTATGGCTTAAAAGTCTTGCACTGACAGGATCGCCCCACAAGTCCTTTATTCGCCTTTGATGAACTGAGGAGCCACAGAGAATGCAGAGCCTTGTGGTGAATCGGCTTCTGTTGTGGGAAAATCACAAGCTTCAGGATGAACACACTGAGGCTCAGCTCTACCTGAGAGGCCACTTGAGATAGATTCCTCAATTCCTTTGAGTCTCTGTTTCCCGATCTACGTACGCACTGGGAAAAAGCAGCTGCCTCATGCAGCAGACGACCGTAAGATGAAACGTGCGAAGGATCTCCTTGCCACTCTTCCTGCCAGCAAGGAGACACCCAATAGATACAACGTTCCTCCTTGCATACAGCTGTTGGACTCAGCAAAGCTGTACTAGACACAAAGGTCATGCCCCTACTGATATTTGTAGTCAGGCATGAGTGCCATCCTCTTTCTGTGCTCAGAGCACAGATTTTTTAGGTTGCAGCTTTCAAATTAGCAAAATGTTCTTTCTGCAACGTCCCCTCTATCACTCCCGTTAGCCTCTTGATTCTGGACATCCTGCCACCATTCTATTCTCCACAGCAAACGTCAGTTCAGTCAGCTCACTGCTTCCAGAGACCTGTGAAGAAGAAGAAGAAGAAGAAGAAGAAGAAGAAGAAGAAGAAGAAGAAGAAGAAGAAGAAGAAGAAGAAGAAGAAAAAGAAGAAGAAGAAGAAGAAAAAGAAGAAGAAGAAGAAGAAGAAGAAGAAGAAGAAGAAGAAGAAGAAGAAGAAGAAGAAGAAGAAAAAAAAAAAAACAGCTCCAAACTATCAAAGAGTACTATAATATGCTTAAAGCATGACCATAAATTACGTAATTCCATCTCCAATCTTGCTTTGGGGGAAGGGTTGACATGGAACGTTTGAAGAAACATGAAACAGATCCTAAAGACGGATGGTTTTTCATAGAGAAATACATTTTTTTTTCCCTCCCAGCTTCAAAGCTGGCATTCTTTTTGTCATCCTGCACAGGTTATTTTTGACAGGATTTAACGTATGAAATTGTTCCACTGCCCTTTAGAACCGTCTGGGCCCAGGCTTGTGCTCGTGAAGATGATGAATGTGTGTTCTTAATTGAAAATTTAAACTGTCCATGTGGCACAGAATTTGCTCTTTTGTAAAAGTTTCAAAAAACTAACTGCCTTCTAAAGCACCACATTTAGTCTCCATGAGCGATAATGGGGTGACCTGAGAGGCAGGTTAGGGAAGAGATGCCTCTGGGTCATTCTTCTTCTTAAAGTATCCCTCACGGCTGAGATTCATCTAACTTCAAAGACTGTCTAGTTTAGACATAATTCTTTGTTTTTTTACTAATAACTCTCAGCATTATACAAGTAAAAAGAGTGGGTCTGCCTATGGACATTGTTGTTTATATTAACAGAGAAATAGGGTGTTTTAGTTACAAAGTGGGCTGAAGTTTTTATTTCTGCATCAGTTCTGATTTTAAAAGATTTCCATATTACGCAGAAATTTAAGCAATGTGTCTATGATGCAGGCTGAGGTATTTTGATAGTGTTGTGCAAATTGTATTGTATTGGCACAAACACATTAATTAATGAAATATATTTCAAAACTTTGAAATGATACATTAAAAAATTAATTGATGAGCAGCATTTTAAGAACCACTTTCAAATGACCATCATTTCCTATTTCAATTGTATCTTACTCCACGAAAATGAGGTCTCTGAACATGTTTCTATATGTTTTATTGCTATAAACGGAATCATATAATTGCGCTACAGAAATCCGCTTCCTTTAAGATGTCATCGTAGAATGTGATTAACTACCACCCAAATGCCATCTTACCATTTAAATTTGCATATGACACTTAAAAAGGAAGGAAAGCCGGAGGGAAAGTCACTGACACGACTGGACACCTCTTTTTTTTTTTTTTTCAAGACAGGGTTTCTCTGCGTAGTTTTGGTGCCTGTCCTGGATCTCACTCTGTAGACCAGGCTGACCTTGAACTCACAGAGATTCACTTGGCTGTGCCTCCCAAGTGCTGGGATTAAAGGCGTGTGCCACCACTGCCTGGTGACTGGACATCTCTTTAGGGTCTCATGTTATCTGCATCCCCCCCCCAATAAAAAACCCACAAATTAGATGTTCTCCTCCCATTTTATAGGAGAGCAAATTGTTCAAGCTCCCACAGTGATCAGGGAGTAAACATGCCAGCATGTGGTGGCAGAGCATTAATATTACATTCGCATGTTTTCATTACTAGAAACTCTAAGCACATTCATTTCTCTCCATCACCTAGGTTTAAATTTCTGAATATTCTCTTCATCCTCCTTTCATCCTCCAGCTTTTGACATTTACTGGTCTTGAGATCAAGTGCAAAATGTATTATTTAATTCCTATTCAAGCTAGTATCCACCACTAAAACCTTACATTAAAATAATAATGCCCTTCTCACACCTAATAAGATAATAGTGATTTCTTGACATCATATGACTCAATTCTAATTCCAGGTGCTTTAGAATTTTTTTCCACTATATTAAAATCAACTTATGACTGAGCAATATGGTGAAGCATATTCCTGCAGCTCCAGGAAACGAAGCCATGGTGTTGATGAAAACATCAGTCATAATACCTAGCAGAGATTGTTCAAAGCATGATGATGTCTGTACATGTGTGAATTCTAGAATTCACCAATTCAAAGAAAATCTAGTAAGATCCATTAAATTTTTTTTTGGTTGTTGTTGTTGCTGTTTTTTCTCCTTGAAAAGAACAAACATGTACCATCCACCAGTACTATGATTTTTGTTTTTTCAGGCCATTTTTCTTCCCCCAAAGTTGGGACAATTTTATTTTACAATGGCAGGTTCTCCCAGGAAAGGAGAGTTAGTTCTATTCTTATAATACAGTTTTAACAAACGAGAACTACTTTCAAATTTGCATTAAAAGTTGTTGTGGCTACATAGTGACAGATAGCATCAGTGTTCCTAGGATGGCAAGGGGCACAATGCAGTTGTTGAGCCAACAAAATCTAGGGTCAGACATACCTGGCTACGCCCTCTCCCTTTCCAGTCTTTGCCTTCTTGTGAACGGGATAATAGTTCTTGTTCTCTGGGGTCCTGTCAAGAGGTATGAAAATATCTAGCACATAATTTGGTATAGAGTATGCATTTAAAATTTTTGAATTAATTGCTAACTTTAAATTTTTCAGATACTTAACCAAAATAACATTAATAAACTCAACCTCTTCCCTGGACTTGGCTTTCACGGGAGTTTGGAAAGTTGTAGGGAAAAACAATTTTTTCCCTCCTTTCTCAACCTGCCAATGTGAAGAATAGTCAGAGCTAAAGATGCGTCTAGAGAGACACGTTTGAAAGACGTGGACAGGGTGACTTATTGTCTGTTTGATGCTTTAATGTATTTTTCTAAATAGTTCTTCCAAAACTGACTTGCTTGCCTTGTCAATTTTGTTTTCTAAGCTTTCCCATCGTGTCTTCCTACCTTTTCTAAAAACTATGTAGCCAATCAGATGTTTTTTTCATTTTTATAGATTAATAAGCCAAGGCATAAAATAAGTAACTTGCATAACATAGGGATAGCTAACATTTATTGAGACTTAATCTTCAGAGTGCTTGCTTGATCATAAATCACATGACCCATGAAGTAGTTCTGGAAGATTGGCTGATTTTACCTTCAACTGAGGCACAGAAACTCCTAGGATCACAAAGCTGCCAGGAGTGAAGGAGGTACTAAGATCAGTAATGGGCAGCTTGGCTCCAGTGTGTGTGCGTGTGCATGTGCGTGTTCGCGTGCATGTGTGTGTTGCATGTGGTAGATTTTCTGTGATTACAGGAGTGTTGATCCATTTGCATTTCTTTCTCACACCTTATTTTTGTTTATAGATTTTTTTACTTAATTAAAATGTTATTACATGATTTTCCTTTCTCTCTCTTCTTCCTCCAGCGTCTACCATTCTGCCCTCTCTCTCAAATTCATGACCTCTTTCTCTTTCACTATTGTTGTCCACATTTGTGAATAAATACATAAATGCAACCTGCTGAGCCCGTTTATTGTTGCTGGTTTGTATATGTTGCTGTGTTGCGGATATCGCTCTGTATAAATAAAATGCTGATTGGCCAGTAGACAGGCAGGAAGTATAGGTGGGATAAACAGAGAAGAGAATTCTGGGAACAGGAAGGCTGAGTCAGGAGATGCTGCCAGCCGCCACGAGGAGAAGCAGATGTTAATACACTGGTAAGCCACGGGCCACGTGGCAACTTTTAGATTAATAGAAGTGGGTTAATTTAAGATAGAAGAACTAGATAACAAGAAGCCTGCCACGGCCATACAGTTTGTAAGCAATATAAGTCTCTGTGTGTTTACTCGGTTGGGTCTGAGCCGCTGCGGGACTGGTGGGTGAGAGAGATTTGTCTGGACCATGGGCCAGGCAGGACTGGAGAAAATTTCAGCAACAGACCACCTGGTATTGAATAACCATTTAGGGGGCTTATTTTTGGGGAAGACTTGTTTTTCCTCTCTCAGCAGTCCTTCATCCATGCTCTTCATCTAGGGGTGGGGCCATGTCACACTGGCATGTCAGCTGGCGTTACCATTATTCAGGTCTTGTCTTCACAGCCATATTATTGAGATTTCATGCATGTAGCTCCCTGTTGCATCTAGAAACACCATTTCGCAGCGATTTCTTGGTCCTCTGGCTCTTACGGTCTTTCCACCCCACTTCTGAGATGTTCCCTGAGCCTCAGGTGTAGAGGTTTGGATCTCATCTTTTGTTTTTTAATTTGAGGGTCTGACTATGTCGTGTTGCTCAGGCTAGTTCTAAACTCTGGGCTCAAGAGATCTTCCTGCCTTAACTTCCTGGGTGGCTGGGACGATGGGCATGGATCTATACCTGATTTATCTTGAGGTTTTAAAAAGAAAAGAGGAGTGAGATCTTTTCCATATTTCTGAAATGCCTACCATTCTCTCTTTCTGAAGTGTTACTTTAACAATGGCATATTGGTTTTAAAAAAAAAAGATACCAGAAGGGGAACTAACACACTCCAAAAATGGCTCCGGGCTGGAATGGGGTGACATCAGGAAGAGGTAAGCCTTTTCCAAACACCTAGGAGCAGTCACATGGCCCTCCATTGGCCTTCATCCCCGGAGCCAGAAATGCAAACCTGAGGTTCTCTCCATCCTTTCTCCCACCCCTAATTGACTGTACCTTTTGGTGTTCTCTTCACCTTTCTACAAAGAATCATTTGTTCCATCTTCGCTGCTCCTCATTGTTCTGGTGTAAATGGAGAGAGAAGGATGAAGACCGAGGAGCAAGAGCTTCAGCCAAGTCCTTGGAGGGCAAGAGAAAAAGTGACAGCCACTGTCCCTCCAAATCCTCATTTCTTCTCAGTATCTCCAAGCTCAGCTCCTCTGGTGCCTTTCAGTCTGATGGGGAGTCTGGATGTCAATTGCCTGTTAATCTGGGGAACAGGTCTCTGGCCGCTAGGGAACTCATTTTGAGCATATAAAGCTGTGATTGTGTCTGGGTCATACACATAAATCTGGGGGTTTGTTTGAAGATGGGGTAATAAAAGTTTTTTTTTTTCACGCATTCTTATTTTGTGGTCATTAGGAAGAGAGAGGAGAGGGAGAGCTAAAAGACAGACAGAATATACTAGAAAGATGTTATGAGTCTCATTCGTATCATTCATTTGAGCAGAAAGAGTATTTTTAACACTAGAATTGCAGTCAAAAGTCCCTGCTCTTTGAAATGTTTGCCTTCATCTGGGGACGGCGATGGCATGTCTCCCTTATGCTTTCCACAGTGAGACCAGCTATGCACTATTCTGAGTTAGTTGGACCAGCTTTCCATTGCTCCACATGTATGCCTGCTCTGGGGCTGTGTATCAAGGAGGTCCTGTAGGGGGAAAAAAAACAAAAACCAAAAAAACTTAGTAAGCCAAAATAGCAACACAGGCAGTTGTGTTCTAGAGGTGTAAAAGGGGGTGGATTCAGTTAGTGTACTGGTTAGGTTCTTGTTGTTAGTGCTTTTGGTTTTTTGTTTGTTTTTGGTTTTTTGGTTAGGTTCTTGTTGTTAGTGCTTTTGGTTCTTGTTGTTAGTGCTTTTGGTTTTTTGATTTTTTTAAATCAACATGATACAAATTAGGGTCATCTGGGAAGAGGGAATTCCAACTGAGAAAATGCTTCCAACAAATTGGCCTGCAGGTACATCGGTCGGCCTTTCCTTGCTTAGTGATTGATGTGGGAGGGCCAAGCTGACTTTGAGTGATGCCACCACGGGGCAGGTGGTTCTGGTTTGTACAAGAAAACAGGCTAAGCAAGTCACAGAGAGCAAGCTAACACACAGCATTTCTCTGCTTCAGTTCCTGCTTTGAGTTCCTGCCTTGACTTCCCTTCAGGATGGGCTACCATTCATGGGACGTAATCCAAATCAACTCCCTTCTTCCTCCAAGTTTCTTTCAGTTATGGTCGTTATCACAGATAGAAAGCAAACTATGACAGGCAGTAACCTAGGAATCTGGTTCTGAGGAGGAAGAATCAAACAAAATAACACACACACACACACACACACACACACACACACACACACACACACATACACAGTGAAAGAGTATCTCTACTTGAAGTTAACTACTAGAAATGAAAATGTGTGTATCAGTTGATCCTTAAAGCTGGTGCACATATATCTGGGGGCTTTTTGATACCCAAGGATCTTTGTCTCTGTGGCATGTGTGTGTGTGTCTCAACTTTAATATATTTGCCTCCTATTCTACATAGGAGGGCAAGTCCAAGACTTTTTACCAGAAGAGAAAATGTCCAGGATAGTTTTTCTTCTGGGGTCTCTTTTTCTGCTGGCTCAGTTTAGTGGAGATGGGAAATGTCACTCAGCCTTTTCCAGAAACTGTCCTGCTATCACTTCAAAGCACCAAACACTTTGATGATACCAATCATTAAGGACGTGATCCATTTTCTTTACACCACTCTACAGAAGAAATAACTAGAAAGCCAGGCTGGGTGGTATACGCCTATAGTCCCAGCACTTGGGAGGTTGAAGCAGGAGGATTACAAGTTAGAGGCCAGCCTAGTTTACGTAAGTGCAACAGAATTAGAATCGCGACCAAAAGATGACCAAACAAGTATGGTACTAAAAAAGGTCGTAACTGATGCTGCACAGCATGTCTTAAATGTAAACATCTTCCAAGAAAGATGATGAGAGTAATGAGTTTTCAATAGTTCCATAAATACTATCTGAAAATAGTGTGTGAATATTTGGGGTTCCTTTAGGAAATGCTTCCATGTAGCATCAGTGAGCATTTTTGTCACCTTAGTAACTTGCAAAATGTGCTGTCTTAGTTAGGGTTTCTATTGCTGTGAACAGACATCATAGTCATGGCAACTCTTGTAAAAGGAAAACATTTAGTTGAGGCTGGCTTACATTTCAAGGTTTAATTCGTTATAGTCATGGCAGGAAGCATGGCAGCACACAGGCAGATGTGGTGCTAGAGAAGGAGCTGAGAGTTCTCCATCTGGATTGGTAGGCAACAGACAGAGAGAGTGAGCCACTGGGCCTGGTTTGAACTTCTGAAACCTCAAAGCCCATCCACAGTGACATGCTTCCTTCAACAAGGCCATGCCTGTGGTGGTATTGTGTTCCCCCGAAATATTGTGCACCCTAATAAAATTATCTGGGGTCAGAGACAGAACAGCCACAATATTAAACATATAGGTTAGGCAGTGGTAGCACATGCCTTTAATCCTAGCATTCCAGAGGCAGATATCTACCTGGATCTCTGTGTGTTCAAGGATACAGCCAAGCATGGTGACACACGCCTTTAATCCCAGGAAGTGAGCCTTTAATCCCAGGGAGTGATGGCAGAAAGCAGAAAGGTATATAAGGCGTGAAGACCAGAAACTAGAAGCATTTGGCTGGTTAAGCTTTTAGGCTTTTGAGCAGCAGTTCAGCTGAGAGCCATTTGGATGAGGACACAGAGGCTTCCAGTCTGAGGAAATAGGATCAGCTGAGAAACTGGTGAGGTGAGGTGGCTGTGGTTTGTTCTGCTTCTCTGATCTTCCAGCATTCACCCCAATACCTGGCTCCAGGTTTGTTTTTATTAATACGACCTTCTAAGGTTCCTGCTACACATGCCCACTCCAACAAGGCCTCACCTCCTAATCCTTTCAAATAATGCTACTCCCTATGAGCCTATGGGGGCTATTTTCATTCAAACCACTACACGTACTCAATGGAGAGATCAAAGAGAAGTATATGGTTTGTATGGACATGAATGCAAGCATGAGAGAATTCCTTAGTCTAAAATGTCTGCTGACCTGACAATTCTGATGTCACAGTATATTTGCATGAAGGTAGGGAGGGATGAAAAAATAAAAAAAATAAAATAAAACCCCCAACCAACCAAAGGGTATTATTCTGTGTCCAGTAGTAGAGCCTCTCAGGTTCCATTTCAGTGATGTGTAATTGTGGTTACCTCTGAAGATAAAGCTGTCTTCATCCATTTCCTTTTTTTTTTCTTTTTTTCTTTTTTGCTTCCTAATCTATTCTCTGAAGACAGGCTAAATGCACATGAAGAGGAAGCTTGTGTTTGCAGGCCAGACCATAGCAGGCGATGTTAAGCATTTCCTTTGCACTGGCCAAGAGTGCTGGATTTGAGTCTTGCATTTAGTGTGGGAAGTCGGGGAGGAGGCCATAACACATTTCAATATTTTTACTCTCCTTTGAAGTTAGGATTGGAGTGGGACAAGGTGCTCTGTGGCTATATATATCTATCTATCAATATGTCTGTCACAAGCTGTTTTTCTTTTAACTCCTGTGAAAATTTGTCTGTTTTCTTAGTTATTGCTCTCAATTCATATTTTAAGCAGCTGTTGTCTTTCTAAAATAAGAAGCATCGATGTTTAAATTATGTTTTGGTTGTATTTGTAGTAGGCTGGCTGTTTGAAATTAGTTCGGAATGTTACTGGGACATCTACGTTTTTAGCCTAACTTAGTATTTCCTGAAATGTCTGCCAAAACCAGCAAAGGAGGCTTGGTCACTTTAAATAAGGTGTGCTGGGGGGTGGGGGAAAAGCTACCTTTCTACCTTGTTCAAGATTAGGGCATGTGAACAGTTGTGTTTATTTTGGGGTGTCCTCATTAGAAATGGACAGCCCAGACAGCTGGTAGACTTGGTGAAAGGTAGTTCCAGGGGACACCAAGCAAGGGTTAATGATCACAATCAACTGACTCAGGGCTCTTCTGTGCAGGTCTTCAGGGATCTCTCCCATGCTCAGACAGCTGGCTTCCAAGTAGGCAACAACTTAAAGTGTTTGTGAGTCATGATTTCTTCCCTGCTCGGTATGGTCCTCCCTGGACACCAGCTCTTTTTCTCTGGTATCTGCTGCATTGAAGGCATCTTTTTCCTGTGCTCCCTATGCTGGTTCATTTCACTGTGTCATACATCTGTAGACTCCTGCTCTGCCTTGTAAACTCAGAGTTGGGTGGTCAAGAGCATCGATTGTAGTCCCATTGCCTAGGTTAACAGTGGGATTCCCCGCCCCCACCTCTGCTAACTATGTAGCCACAGTATTAATGTCTCCAAGACTCTGCCTAAGCATCTCTAGAATGTGGGTCACCCTAGTACTTCCTTGTAGAATTGCTGTGAAGATTGAATCAGAACATGCAGAGTATTCAGAAAGCATGCCAACCCCAGCGAAAGCACATAGTAAAAATTAGCTTCACTATCATCTCTGTCTCCATCTCCACCATCATCTCTTCCTCTTCTTCCTCTTTCTCTTCATCACCATCATTCTTATTATTTGCAGAACTAGGAATCAGTTCCAAGGCCTTGTGCATGCTTCGCTCTGCCACTGAGCTACAGCCTAGATCAGCTGAGTCACTGAGGTTGCCATTTTGGTAAGGAAGATGCTTCTACTTTAACCAAGGGCAAATACTTGTAATTACTTCCAACCATACACCAGGGCAGGTTCTTTTTTAGTGACTCAAGTTGCCAGAGCATTTAGGAGCTGGGTGGGAGCAGTGCGAATCTTACAAGCTGATTTCTCTCACCTATCTGTTTTGTGACAAAGTCTCTCTATGTAGCCCAGACTGCCCTCAAACTCCTGATACTCCTGTCTCAGTTTCCCAAGAGCTGGGAATATAGGCATGGGAGATGATTTACTGAGGGAGTGGGTGTGTGTGTGTGCGGTGGCGTGCTGGGAAACAAACAAACAAACAAACAAACAAACAAAGAAGCAAAGCAAAACAAACAAAAGACAGGTCAAGCTTTGTTGCCCATTTAGACACTCTGTATACATGCACCTCTCTCTCGATCCCAGAATTCCTTCCTGCAGGTTCTCTTAGTGAATAGTCAAGGAGGATTTTCTCGTGCAAGGCTTACCCAGATTTGCTGTGGAAGAGAAAGCCAAGCCGTTCCTATTTTTGGCTTTATGCTTAGACAAAGGAACAAAGAGCTTATTTCAAGAAACTACCAGAGACATTAAACATTCCCCCTCTCTGACTCTCTGTCTGTCTGTCTGTCTATCTGTCTCTATCTGTCTCTCTGTCTGTCTCCCTCCCTCCTCCTCTCTCCAAAGAAAGGAAGCCATTTAACAAAGAAGCAGCCCAAGATGCCCTCTGGTTCACTCCATTTAGGCTAAAACTCTCTCCTGTCACTCTTCATTCTTAGACAGTACGGTCTCATTTCTTCCTTATCACCTGGGACCTATTAGAAACAGCAGGTAGCAACAGGAAGCCGCAGCATCTTCCTGTTCGCTTTTCTGCCCTTGTCTGGGGCCCACATGATACTGTGGCTGAGAGGTTCCCCACAGCAGTGCACCAGGCAGAGTGTGGGTCCGTGTTTGTGTGTGTGTGTGTGTGTGTGTGTGTGTGTGTGTGTGTGTGTGTGTGTGTTGGTGCAGGGTGCTGGCTGGCTGAACTGAAGCAGGCTCCTGACTGAGGAAGAACGTTCTAGCAGGATGTGACTTCTGATCTCCTTCCCACAGTCAGGCTCAGTCACACCACTTCCTCAGAGGCCCTCTCCTCATACCCTTTTGTTTTTTTGGTTTTTAGTGCTGGGGGCTGAACCCAGAGCTTCTCCCAGCAGGGGCAGATGCTCTCCCAGCTTAGGGTCCCTCAAGAATGCAGTGGAGCTTTTCAGTTCCACCTTGTCTCCTGCCCTTGACATCAGTGTTCAGATCTCTCACTGAATCAGGATTCAGATCACATACTGAATACTGCTCTTGCCTCACTTTCTTTCCAGTCTCTTGGGGGCATTTCTGAATCCTCTCCCATTGTCTTCATCTCTTTTCTGTGGTCGCAGAAAGGCCCTGCAAGCTCTCTCCGTGCTCAGGCTCCTGAGTTAGGGCTGGGAGACTTGCCCCAGGAGGGAAGTGGTGGTTTTAGTCAAAGCAGATCAACTCTTTCCCTAGAAGGAAAAAAGAACAGCAATGAAAACAGCACACACACCAGCCACATCACGAGGCCTCGACTCCATCTAT